GGAACTAGAACAGTCTACCCCAGTGAGCGAAATTAAGGGTTCAGTTCAACATTCCAACCACCAGAAGAAGGCCAGAGTGTACAACGCCCGAAACGTTGTAATAAATATAGCGATAAAGATGAGGACAATAGTCCAAATAATGTAAATAGTGTAGAATTCTCTCCCTTTGCATGCTGTAGGTGTATTCTGTGGCCTTGAGAGGCTTGCTATAAGTAAACACTTGTCAACCGTCATTTCTGTAAATAACAGTTGACAGGTGCAACAGAATGCACCTACGGCATGCAAAAGGAGAGCATTTGATAGCAATGTGCTAAAGGTTAGATAACTCACTAGGGTTGTTGGAATTCTTTTTTAAAATACAATGTCAACTGTCATCTTTTGTCCTCTTGCAAAACCATGCTTTTATTGTCCTATCTTCATTTCTTTCACTGTCAGTAACCCCTTGCTTCCTAGTGGCTTTTATCACTTTGCTCAGAGAGAAGTGAGTAAAAATAAAAGTCAGTGACCTTACACAATCATGTGTGGGGATCTGTTGTGTCCCAGTTGTTCTCCTCTTAGGCTACCTACCCTCAGCTAGAAAGTTTGGTATACCCAGTCATTTAACCTGTAGCTGGGGGGCAGGGAGAAGAGACGGATTCGTACCTTTTCCAATGGTATTTGCATGAAAGTGAATGTTAAAACTTGGCCGAAATTTGAACTTGGTTTGCCAATTGCTTTTTCAAAGTCGCTAACCACTACACTATGTCACATATATTTTATTATATTTTAACCATCACTGGAGGTGAAAATTGTTGCTGTAGAATTCTCTCCCTTTGCAGCTGTGTCGCCTTGAGACGGTTGTAATACATAAACACTTGTCAAATGTGATTTCCTGTATTTTAAGCTGGAAATCACCTACTACTGCTTTGGAACGAGGCTAGACATCCTTTTATTGATGCCATTTTGAAATCTTCTAGACTCTACACAATGTGTAGTACCGATTAAACTGATGTTAATTCTTTTCACGATTTTTTGTAAACAAAAATGGCTGCATCAAAATCCGATGAAGCCTTTATTCAATTTTTGTTTGATTTGGACTCTGATAATAATTTTGGAAGTTTTACTCAAGTGGACAATGACAGTGAAGTGGTTGAAGATTATAACCATGCTAGTGACGTGGAAGAAAGTGATGATGACCAATAGATAACTACTAGTGGCTACTATCATCTGTGGCTGATTATTAGTATACAAAAATAAAATCTATACACACAATACAAAGAAATGCAGGGTGGGGGCAGAGACACACTGACTGGAGATTTCACAGGACAGAGACAACTGTGGCGATGAGGGACAACATTTAAAAATTCTTCAGTAGTATAGCATTGTCACTACATCCTCTACGGATTGCTAGTTTTTTGATGAGTGGTGGTCATTTGCTTCACAGTGGGATGCATCTGTCTTCAGGCTGGTCTTGAGTTCTTACTGAAAATCAAAAAGCGTCTGTTCACCAGGCAGAAGGTTTTCTTGGAATAATAAGTAGCACAATGTATAGGATCTGTCTCGGACAAATTTTATTGTCTCCAGCAGGGAAGTGTTGCTGGCCACAAAGAGCAAGAGAAATTACCTATTCCAACAATTTTTAGCCCATCTGCTTACAACCAGGGCAAAAACCTCACAAAAGAGTCTTGGGTGGTGGAACACTATTTAATTTTTTTTTTTTTTTTTACTTACTCTCCTTTAAATGTTACACTAGTAAAAGAAATAAAAAAATACACAACAAACAAAAAAAAGAAGCAAGGAGTTTTGTAGATCAAAAGATCTTCATATCATAAAGAAGTAATTATAGAACAAATTAATTAGCAATGTTAATGTGACTAATGGTGAAATCACTTTGCTAACAAGACTTAATGAGACATGAACTTACTATGAAATCCTTGAATAATAATAGTCTCATCAATTCTATCTGACAACAACTCAAATATAAGGATTGTGTTATTCAAGGAATTGATAGTAAGTTAATGTTTCATTAAGTCTTGTTAGTGAAATGATTTCGGCATTAATCACATTAACATTGCTAATTCTTTGCATAACTACTTCTTTAAGATATATATACTGCACACTCTGATATATATATATTATGAAATGGACAAACTCCGACAATTATTTTAAAACATTTTTATGTTTATACATTCTTTTTATAAATACAAATATTTAAGTAAATGCTCTGTTTATAGTATTAATAACATTTAACGGTCTGAATGTCCAAGAAATTTCCATAGAAAATATTCGTCCTTTGACAGGAATCAAACTTGTATCCTATACGGAACCGTCATATAGCCTCACATGCTTTAACTGATTGGGCCACAGAGGATCATTCGGTTAGCAATGTTGATTTTACTGCCTTTAAACTACAATCTTCCATGATTCTCTCATGTACATTCATATCTGCTCAATGCATATCCAAATGTAAACAAATAACGCCACACATTATGAAATGGACAAAGTCCGACAATTATTTTAAGACATTTTCTGTATAGGATACAGGTTTGATTCTTGTTGGAGGACAAATATTTTCTATGAAAATTTCTCGGACATTCAGACCGGTAAATGCTATTAATACTGTTTATTATAAACAGAGCATTTACTTAAATATTTGTATCTATAAAAACAATGTATAAACATAAAAATATCTTAATATATATATATATATATTAGTTTTTCTGGCACTGGTCAGTCTTCTTTGGAGATCAAGACCTTTTGTGAACATTGTCATGAGGAAGATTTGTGCAGCTCCAACTTGTCATAGCATACCAGTGGAAAGAAATAAAAAAAAAACAAAAAAACATCAAGATGTTTGCCATTGGAACAGCATACAGGAAAGTTTGAGTTTATGCCTTCTTTGAAGACATAAGAATAAAATATATATGAACAGTAACCAAATTCAGTGAGGTCCAGTCCATTAAGCTATTTCTTCTCTAATAAAATACAAATATGAAGATTCTTGCCCGTTGGAGATTGTACTGCAAGATGGACTGTCAGCCATAAATAGCAACCAATAGTGTTCATATAAATTTTGATAAAATAAGTGCACCAGAGGTGAAAAGTTTGGAGAGCCATCCTCTGGATTTAATAATTGGAAATTAGCCTTCTTTGGTTTAATCAACTCTGACTAAGTTTGGATGCTGAAAGTATTCAATCCATTAAGTGTATGGCATGCAACTGTTTAGATAGTGTCATGAGTGCGACAAAAGGAATAAGATAAAAAGAAGTAAAGGAAATGGCAAGAAGATTTACTAAATTTTATAGTAAACAAAAAGAAAATAAGGTTTTATTATAATTTTAATGATTTGGTTAGTGGTTAAAAAAAAAAAAAAAAAAAAAAACCCAAAAAACAAAGTCTTACCGGCAAGAAGTTATAAATACTTAAAAAATAACTTCAATCAGGAGTTGTTGTGTTTTTGTGGTATAGTTCACATGTCAGGGGTCAGAGTAAGTGAATGGTAGTAAAGAGACTGCTTTGAAGCAGATTTCTATATACAACAACTGACTTTGTCAGCCAACTCACTTAATTTTAGCACCAACCAATGAATACGAATACCTGGATGAAAGACGTCCACTTTGTAAGGTCATCCGGCTGCATCAAAGAGTTCTTTGAAGCCTTTGATCTAAATGACCCAGAATTTGGAGAAGTTTCATTCATAAAAATAGATTCTCTAACGGTGCCTACCTAAATTTTAAAACCCGCCAGCCCAAAGATTGCCATTAGCCTGCAAGGTAGATTTGGCAAAAAGAGATAAAATTCTAAGGAAACTTTAAGTAGTAATGGGTTACTTTGATTATTATTATTATTATTTGTTGTACTGTACCTATGGACGATCATGGGTGTGTCCCAATTCCTATAAATACAGTGGTGACAAAGTCTGACAATTATTATTGATAGTAAGTTAATGTTTCATTAAGTCTTGTTAGTGAAATGATTTCAGCATTAATCACATTAACATTGCTAATTCTCTGCATAATTACTTCTTTAAGATATATATACATATATATATCTATAAATATATGTTGTCTTCCACTTAGGGTTCACCTTGATTCACTAGCACTTGATTACTTACTACACGCTGCTGGCGAATCTTGTATGTTGTTTCTGTTATAAATATTATCATTCCATTTCCAAACTTTGTTTTTTGTTATTCTTATTCAGTAACCTTTTCTTAGTTTAGAACATTATTGAATAAAACCCTTAAGGAAGATTGATTCAATTTTCTATGGTTTATCAACACTCGGCAGGTTATTCAAAGCCAGAAAATATTTTTAGATTCTAAGAGTTTTTTCTTTTTTTTCTTTTGAGAAAATGATTTAGTGATACAAGACTTACTACTTAACCCACAGCTGGAGGGAGAAGAGGTGGGTTCATACATTATTGAATAAAACCCTTAAGGAAGATTGATTGATTTTCTATGGCTTATCAACACTCAGCAGGTTATTCAAAGCTAGAAAATATTTTTAGATTCTAAGAGTTTGTTTTTTTTTCTTTTGAGTTTTTGGTTTAGTGATATAAGACTTACTACTTAACTCACAGCTGGAAGGAGAAGAGGTGGATTCATACCATTTCCAGGAATATTTGCGTGTAAGTAACTATAACAAAGCCAACAGGAATTGGAAGTTGGCTCTCTGATTAACAATTCCGAGTGATTATCCATTACATCACTTGCATACCCAACTTATAGCACATGGTATTCCCAAATAGTCACCCATATATGTGCTCAATGTTGCTTAACTTTGGTGATTGTACAGAAGGTGGGTTTTCAGTGTGAGCCTATTATTATTGAATAAAACCCCTCAGGAAGAGAAAGTCCCTCTGTCTTGAAGCAAACTAGTAAATTAGTTTTGACAAAAAGCTTGCAACCTTCAGTTTTTAGGCAACTCTATGGCATCCAGAGGTTAGCTCCAAACTTTTTCCCTACAGGGTACTTTAAAAAAAAAAAAAAAAAAAAAAAAAGAAGAAACTTTTATAAAGTTCAATTTCCCATCAAAATCTGAAGAACCGAAGGTTCTCCAAGACAACGGATTTGTATTATGGTTGACTCAAAAGCACCAGGCTCGTTTAAGATGGCTTGCTGCAGATATGGATGGTCACAGCTTGCACAACGGAGTTCTCTGCCCTTGTCAGGACAGTCAAGGTTTTTGAACACACTCTTGAGGCCCTTGCCGCAAGAACAACACCGCCGTCCGTCCTCGGTCATGTGCATGCGCAGATGGTACCTAAAGGGCCAGCCTTTGCGAAACACCTGGCTGCAAACAGGACACTGCAACTTTCTGCTGCTTTTTGCAGTCGTCACCCGCTTTTGTCCCTTGCACTTACCCGTATTTGTATGCATCCGTTCATGTTGGTTTAGGTGCTTCAGGTTGGAGAAGAAGAGCTTGCAGAATCGGCACTTGTGCAGCAGGTGCGTCTCTTGGTGTCGATCCAGCTCCTGCTCTGTCAGGAACGATTTCCGACAACTGCTGCACTTGTGGGTGCGGAAACATACCTGGCGCCGTACGTGCAACTTGAGGGTGTCTTTACGGGTGAAGGATTTCAGGCAGCGGGCGCACGTGTAGTGAACCTGTCCCTCGTGCTCTGTCTCGTGGGATTTCAGGTTGCTTTCCTTTGCGAATGACTTGCCGCAGAAAGAACACATGAAGTCCTGCTCTTTTCTTGCATCAGTTTTTTTGAGCGCCATAATGATGTTTGTAGTTTTAGCGGGGTTCCAAGGAAAAATGCAGACATTTATTAGCAGGGATGTAACCCCTGTATGCAAACAGTTAATATATAAACGTCGTCACTTTTAGAGGTATTATGATCCTCTTGCATACGGGTCTTGGTCTCTTGCGGATTTAATACTGAATTCTTGTTTCAAAGCTGGCAAGATCTCAGAGAGAGCCTTTTATGACGTTAACTTTTACAAAGCTTGTTTGGCTTTTCTTGTACAACTCTGATCTTTTAAATCTGATAGCAATGTCAGATTCAAGCACTCATAATAGCAAGAATAACAGTCAAGTCGGTCTATTTAATTGATTAGAAAAATGAAAATGAGTGATGGCTTGTTGCAAATTAGAGAAGTCAAATCATGAAAAAAAACAATTTCAGAATTCTAACAGAGTCTGCAATGTTACAGCTGAAGTTATAAATTATTCAAGAAGCTAAATTAATCCTGCTCAAACCCTCATGCAGAAAGCAATGGTCGAACAATTACAGAATAAGTCCTAAAATAGGTATGTCGTTTACACGTGGGTGCCAGATTCTAAAAACAGCAGAAGAGAAGGCGATTAAATTGAAAAGAATGAATTGCCCAATTGTAGAGTTTTAAGCCAATGCAAAGTGTTTATAAATGAAACCGAGCCAAGTTGACAGTTGTATTCCAGTAATCGACGGGGCTGTCTTTTCCGAGCACATTCTGAAAGACAAGAAACAGTAAATGGAGATAGAGTTAAATAGCAAATACAATAAGAATTATAAGAAGAAGTTGTGACATGTTGGTTGTTTTTGTTTAGCGGCATATCAACACCTATAGGGGTTATTTAATGCCAAAATCTAAATTCTGAGTCATTATCCATTACATAACCCACACATCCAAGATTACAGCACCTAGTATTCCCAAGCGGTCACCCATCTACGTACTGACCAAGCTCAACATTGCTTAACATTAGAGACATATTCGTAATTATTGTTTTTTTTTCGGGGGGGGGAGAGGTTAAGAGAGAAATAGTTGGTGCGAATCCTCTTAAGCAGCCAGTTTTTGAATCAAACCATATCAAAGTGCATCGTTTAAAATGCTTCATCTAAAACATAACTAGCCCTATCTGAAGCAGAATTTCAGTTTCAGCTGGAGAGGGATGGGCTCCGTCAGGTCGACTTGCCCAACACATGCGGATTTGTATTTAGATACATTGTATTTATTTTCAATTTTTCTACTTTAATTTTTCACCTATTATCATCTGTTGGTCTATTTTTTTATGGTACGTCGTTCACAAGTTTTTTTTGAGTGTTCTTAATAAAGGAGTTCCATCAAAAAAAATTCTTGTGTGGTCGTTGCCCACGTTTCAATGTTTTATATATTCCATAAATTTTCTATGGAAATTTACCAAATATATACTATTTGAAAGTTATTACAACTTTCAAATAGTATGGCATTGTTCACAAATCTAATAAACAAAATCGGATGAAGCATTGCAGCTTGATTCAACTGCAAGTGCAAACGCACAAACATCCTCCCTCCTTCTTTGCATGTAAAGTTGGGATTAATAAGAGGTTCCTCAGGAATTTTTCTCTTTTAATGCTTCAATGATCCTTCTCAAAAATCTTTGCATCAAAGGTTGTTCGAATGCCACTTTAGGATGGAATCATATGAAGAAACTATTGTCTAAATGGCAAAAGCTGATTTTGAACCTAGTTTGTTGCAGATTTCGTTCACTTAACGGAAATAATCTAAAACCAAACATTCACGCATGAGAAAATTCCTTGGCATCATCTACTGGGAACATAAAACCAATGAATTTGCATTGAAATGAGTTGAAAGTTTTGTGAGCCACCAGGAACATCTTGCCACTGTCAAATGGAGAAAAATGGTTTGGACACATTACAAGGCATGATAGCCTGTGCAAAACCGTCATGCAAGGCACCATTAAAGAAGGACATAGAAGATGCCAATGCAAAAACTGATTGGACAATATCAAACAATGAGCTATACCAGAATTGCTGATGGCTGCCATTGCTAGACCGTTGTGGAGGAGATTTAGTGTGGTGTCTGCATTCAGATCCCCCTGACGATTACAAAAGTGAAGGGGACGATGATGATGACACAAACACACACACACTTTTCAATAGTCGAGTTTTCTTTCGTTTATTCTCAAAAACACCAGGCTCGTTTAAGATGGCTTGTTTAGCACATGGATGGTCACAGTTTTCACAACAGAGGTCTCTGCCCTTAACGTTGATTTTGAACACATTCTTGAGGCCCTTGCTGTAAGAACAATACTGACGGCCGTCCTCGGTCATGTGCATCTGTATGGTACCTAACAGGTCAGTCTTTGTGAAACACCTGGCTGCAAACAGGACACTGCAACTTTCTGTAGTCATCACCTGCTTTTATCTGTTGCAGTTATTCGTATTTGGAAGATGGAATAATTTCTACACAGAAATTTGCATATTATCATGACTTTATCATCTCGGGTCTTTCATGATTCCAATTGTTTTGCATGGCCATTTTTCAGCTTCAGGCTGTTTATAAAGTGGTGTATCTTCTATTACATGGCACCTATGAAAATGCAACAACTTATTTTCCAATCCTCAGGGCCAACAGACAAAACTGATAAAGGCATACTGCTAAACAATCTTAACTTTTTTATAAAATGAGGGTGTATAACCATTTTATATAGTTAGTCCAAAAAATGTGTGTGTGTGTGTGTATATATATATATATATATATATATATATATATGAGATGGATTAAGTCCAACAATTATTTAATATATTTTCTCTTTATACATTATTTTTATAGATACAATTTATTTGAGTAAATGCTCTGATTTTAATTAAACAGTATTAATTATATTAGCGTCTTGAATATTTGAGAAGTTTTATAGAAAATATGCATTCTCTGACAGGAATTGAACCTGTATTCCTATAAAGAAACTGTCATTTAATCTGATGAGCTATATACCATTTAGCTACAGAGAAGCATCTGGTTAGCAAAGTTCAAATTACTGTTTATAAACACAATTTTCAAGTATTTTTCTCAATAGATTATATATATATATATATAAAGACATTTTTTATGCTTATATGAAATGGACAAAATTCTGACAATTTTTTTAAGACATTTTTTTATATTTATACGTTCTTTTTATAGATACAAATATTTAAGTAAATGTTCTGATTAAATTAAACAGTATTAACAACATTTACTGACATGAATGTCTGAGAAATTTTCATGCCTTAAATAATTGTTGGACTTTGTCCATTTCATAATGTGTGACGTCATTTGTTTACATTTGGATACGGCATGAGTAGATATGAATGTATGAGAGAAAAATCATGGAGAATTGTAGTTTAAAAACAGTAAAATCGACCTTGCTAACCAAAATGCTCCTCTGTGGCTCAATTGGTAAAAGCATGTTAGGCTATATGGCAGTTCTGTATGGGATACATGTTTGATTCCTGTCAGAGGACGAATATTTTCTATGAAAATTTCTCGGACATTCAGGCCAGTAAATGTTGTTAATACTGTTTATTATAAACAGAGCATTTACTTAAATATTTGTATCTATAAAAAGGAATGTATAAACATAAAAAATGTCTTGAAATAATTGTCGGACTTTGTCCACTTCATAATATATATATATATATATATATATATATATATATATATATTACACACATTTTAGTCTTTTGTAGTATTCTAGTTTCCTTGGCACTAAAAACTCTTCCAGTAGTAGCAAATGTCTTTTGGATGAATTGAACTCCATTTCTGGAAATTCCCAGTCACCTGGCTATCTTTCATCATCTTCCCTTTCAAAATCACAACCTTCATCTTTGTTTCAACAGAAATTTTAGCCACGATTTTAGTGAAAAAAAAAAAGAAAAAAGGTGTGCTAATGTTCAACTACAATGACTTGCCAAGGCACCTTACACTCATGTTACACGATTGATAAAGGCACACTTCTAAACAAACTTAACTTCTTAATGAAATAAAAGGTGTCGAATCATTTAACAGCCCCAAACCTTTGCATGCCAGTGTATGAAAACTCTATTGCTACTTCTATGGAAAGTACTTGGATGAACTGCATTCCTTGGTTCTGATAGGCCTAACCTTCACGGCGAGGACCAACCATGCGACTCACATTCTAGAAAACCACCCTCATTCCCTTTGTATTTTTTGGATGAGAAATAAGTTCCAATTGAGCAACTTCTTCCTATGAACCATTACTCAGCGGAACTGCATTCCAAGAGGATATTTCCCTGATCACTACAATCTTAACCTGTTCAAATCTAGGGATAACTGTTATCTCCCGCACATATCCACATAAAATGTGCTACTTAAGCAAGGAGACCGTCCAGAAGAGTTGCAGGAGATTCCGAAGTTGTCTGGAGGCTTTGGTTGAAGCCAATGGTGATTTTACTGAATAAATTTACTCTTTAGTCTTTCAAGATATTTTGTGTAATTTTGGTAAATATATCTGTTAAAATGAGATGTCAGTGTTATTTTCATTTTGCATAATTTAGACGACAATTTATATATCGCAGCCTATATATATATATATATATATATATATATATATATATATATATATATAGGGTTGGCAACTAAGTTCCTGCAAGTTTTTTAAATTTTGGAATTTATTGTGTTTTTAAATTTTGGAATTTATTGTGTTTTTAAATTTTGGAATGTGTTTTTTTTGAGAATTCTATTCTGAAATCATTTTGTAATCTATTTTTTTTTTTTTTTGAGTTAATTTAAGTTCATTTCTGTTTATTTTCAGATCATTAAAATGAAATGTTAAGTTAAGAAAAATGAGCATTTCCAACACCTTTTTTTTGCTTTTAATCCAGGTTCTAAGGCTGCAAAAGCTGCTCGTGATATTTGTGCTGTGTATGGAGAGGATGCCGTAGCTGAAAGAACCACTCATGATTGGTATGCCA